TTAGTTTGCTATATTTGATAGAAATACACTATTTTCTTATAAAAGTATTGAGAATGAATGAATTCATGTTTTGGTATGGCAAAAGCAAGACCAAGTATTTTCTTCATTTTTTTAAAATTATTTATTTATTTATTTATTTTGAATATTTATTTATTTATTTATTTATTTATTTATTTATACAAGCACTGGGTGCAGAGAGAAGCGCGGGAGGGTGAGAGAATTCACCAGAACCAGAGCAGGGAGCAGAGCAGGCAGAGGGACCGAGGTACACTGCTGAGGGGAGCAGCGGCAGGAGAGGTCTGCGCGCCATGTGGGACCCTCTTCCGGTGGCCTGGGAGCAGCCGGGGATTGAACTGGCGCTGCAGAGGCTTCGCAACCCATCGCTCAACCGCTGCGCCACCGGGGAGGCCCTATTTTCTTGATTCTTAATTTGCAAATCTTTAATCTTAGCCAAAGCTGAGATGTCACAGCTATATTGAATGCACTTTGAATTCAATGGATATATGTTTGATAATGAATATTCATTGTTTTCATAAGAAATCTAACTTCATGACTCAGGCAATTGGTTTTGGAATCAGGATAGACCCATCAACCACTGAATAGTCGACCACTGATGTTTTCCAACCAAAGAATTTTTTAAATACTGCAGAGATTTAAAATATGCATTTGGTAAAACCTAATAACCAGCCCAGTTTCTGTGAATTCGAACCTTTTTGTTTTTTGGGAAATAGTTTACTTACATTACTTACATTGGTATTTCACCTTTACTCTTAAAACCATTTACTTTTAAAAGTAAATAAAAATGCATCAAATTAAATTTTGAAAATCAGAATGTTGAACTAATATTCCACATATGCCTTATAATGGACATATATTGTGAAAAAGGATGTTATAAGAAAGATTTCTTGGTGGTTAAAATCCTTTTAACAAGGAAAAAGGCATTCTTTTTTGTACTGTATTGACTTCTTTCTTAGGACTGACTGCTGATGCTAGAGTAGTAATAAACAGAGCCCGTGTGGAATGCCAGAGTCATAAGCTTACAGTTGAGGACCCAGTCACTGTAGAATACATAACTCGCTTCATAGCAACCTTAAAGCAGGTAAGTCAAAATCCTAACAGATAAATCCAAGTTTTCTCCTTTTCCATCATGAGTCCTATTATGAATACTGTAATCTCTCCCATCATTCAGACTACTAAATCTGTTGGATTCCTTGTACTTTCTCACACTTACTTCATACTCACACGCTTATTCCTGTGGAATGATTGACTTGATTACTATTGTAGAAATCTCTATCAATATCAGATGTGGAAATTACGTTAATATTTAAAGAACAGTAAATCTAAACTTTTAAGGGAATTTCTACACTTTCGGATAAGTAATAATAGGGACCATGTATTCACATTTACTGAAGAATACCCACAATTCTACCTACAAACCTAACACAGTGCTCAGCTTTAAATAAGACCACTGAATTCACATGTAGATAAGAAAGTTTGACATAAGTTAATTATAATGTATTCAGGTATTTTTTCATTTATCATTTTGTTTTCTTATGTCAACATAGTCTTCACATTTATTCTAATTATATAATGCTGTTTGTAATTGCTATCTGTTAATTATTTAGGTTGTTTCCAGTTTCTTTCATTTTCTCATTACTTCTGTCAATTTGCTACTTTAATAACATTATTCTATCTTTGTCACAACTTTTCTTTTTCTTTTTTGAATTATACTGTTAAATTAATTTTTGGTATGGGATTACTAGATTAGAAATTGTAATTGGTTTTAAGACTCTTGTTATATGTAGCTAAATTGCTTCCTAAAAAGATTGTACCAATTTTTATTGTGCAACCAGCAATGCATAAATGTATCCCTGAAGGATCATCAGTATAGGGTTTTTCATTTTTCTTTTATTTTGCAAATAAGTATAACATAGTGCTATAATAGCTGTTTTAATTTGTATTTTATAGTTAGTAGTAAGGTTGATTAATTTCCACATGGTTTGCTATTTTCATTTCTTCCAGTGTAAACTATCTTTCCTTTGGCAAACATACTAGTGGTTAAGAATGTGTCCACAAGTGCCAGAATTTGGGGTTTTGAATCTTGGCTTTTCTAGTTCCTCATTAATGCCTTGGGCAAATTATTGAGCCTCTTTTGCCTCAATATTCTTATTTATAAAATAGTCATTAAAATAATACCTCTCAGTGTTGAGTTGCATTAGGAATTAAATGAGTTAATATATTTAAAGCATATTGCTTTCTGGCATGGACTTTATTACCATTTGTCCATGTAGAGATTTTTGTTATAGACTCCATATTCTAGATATTTAAGTTTTAAGTACATATTTATAAGATGTTCCCTATTTTGTTGCAAGAGAGGCAAAAACTTCCTATTCTACTTTTCTTTTATATTTGCTTTGATTTCCCCAGTAGTTAAAAGGTGCCCACCAAAAAAAAAAAAAATAAATAAGATGCAGCATATTATGTACAAAAGGTTCCTAACTGTGCATTTTAGATTTCCTTCTAGAAACATAAAGGCTATGTATAGAACATTTATAGAAGTATACATTGTAAATCTGTAGCAGTGGGGTTGCTAGTGGGGAGGAGCCTGGAGCTCTGGGACAAAAGGTATACTTTGTATACTTTTTGTACTTTCAAATTATATTATCTCTGTATGTATTTCTTTTTCATTTAAAAAAAAATGACAAATCGAGTAGATAAAGAAAAAAGACCTCTTTGCCAAGGCATAAAGCATCTACTTCATATCTTGGTGTAAACAAAGAACATTAGGAAATGCAGAGGGAAGTAAGGTATAAACCCTATTCTTTAGAGGTTATGGTTGCAGTTTAACTATTTGTATCCAAAATTTGAAGTGATGCATAAAAATACATGTGATAAATTTTAAGAATTAAAAAGAGATGTAATGCGTGGACAAATTCAAGAAGGAAGCCAGTATTAATCTATTTCAAGCCACAGCATTACATGTAATCCTGAGCTTTCTGTCAGGTCTGCCTCTTTGCACAATTTCTAGGAGCACCAGTCTCAAAATTAGTGTGAATTCCACTCCCTGGAGCACAAATCCAGGAAGTTCCTGGCACTGAAGTAAAAAGAAACATAATTGGTTTCTATAGCCCCATTGTCTGCAAGGAAAAAGCATAGCATGCGTTATTTCTTTTTTTTTTTTTTTTCCCAAGAGAAACAAAGGTTGTCTTGTTTTGGTCCTGAAAGAAATATCTTAGTTGGGTTTGTATGTAGAAACAACTTAGTATATAGTCCAAAGAATATACTTGATAATAGTATCAAAAAGGAATACTTGATAATGATAGTTATAATTACAGGGTTCCTCAAAGTAAACCAAGGACTTGCTTTCAAAACACAGCTGATTGAAATCAGCTTTACTAAGAACCAAAATGTTGTGACATACACAATCCTCTGCTATATTAAAAAGATTACAATCTATTGATAGTTATATTACCAAAATGTACATAAAGCAAAAAGAAAATAGTGTTAAGAGCATATATGCAAGTGTATGATTTTATTTTTTTTTTTAAAGATTTACTTATCTATGCATTTACGAGCTAGGGTGTAGGCAAGAGGTGAGTGGGTGAGAGGATTCACCCGAGAGAAAGTGGGGAGCAGAACAGGCAGATGTACTGAAATGCACTGCTGAGGGGTGCAGGCAAGACAGGAGAGGTCTGCTGTGCCATGTGGGTCAGCTCGCTGGCTGGGGATCAAACTGGTGCTGCTGCGGCTGTGGATAGCTTCATTGTGCTGCATCTTAACCCCTTGCACCACCAGGTAGGCCCCTGATTTTATTTTTACAGATACTATACATTAACTTTTTAAAAATGTTAATCATGGATTGAGGTTAGTACAGAAAAGGTTAGGAAAGGATTTTAAAGATATACAGAATTGCAGGGGATGGGGCAGAAAAAAGATATAAAGAATCTATAAAGAAGATCATCTTGACAAGAATACTTTATTTACTAATGGAATTTGTTATTTGATAAGTAATGTTATCCTTTGTGTGACCTCATACAGAAAGTAGTTATGACAACATTTTATTTTTCAGAAATATACTCAGAGCAATGGACGAAGACCTTTTGGTATTTCTGCCTTAATTGTAGGCTTTGATGATGATGGTATCCCAAGATTATATCAGACCGACCCCTCTGGTACTTACCATGCTTGGAAGGTGAGTCATCAATTTAATATATTTTAGAACTTGAGTTAATAGTATTTACTGTAATGCTTTTTCACTGTCAGAACACGACCAAAAAACTAGGTTGTATTAAAATATTTATAATGGTACAAATTTCATGTAATCCTTTAGTTAATCAGAAACCATGATAGTTTCCAATGGATAGGGAAACACAGTGATTTTTTTATTAAAAAATTAAATACCCATGCATTAAATTATTTCATAGAGTTTGCTTACTACTATTAAGAATCAAATAAACTAATGGAAAAATATTGCCGTGGTGTTTATGTCTGTGTTTAGCTGCCTGTACTCCTAAGATTTTATAATAAGCCAGTTGAACAGGCCAGTAAAACCGTGCTTATATTCTTGCCACAAAGATCAGAATACTTGTGTCAGCTACACATTTTCTTTTAAACTTCCTGGATATTTTAATTGGTAATCAGAAGCTATAATTATGTGCATCAAATAGCAGACATTTTTTCTGCCAATTAAAAATCTTTTGTATGTCCTAAGATTTTTCATGACGTTCAAAACTATGCCCTAAGCAAAACAAGTTATTACATTCAATTTTTCTCTAGATATTTTGAAGTCTGCCATCTTCTGTTTGCATTTATCATTGCATCATCATCCTTCATGTCACATAATACTTTCAAAGTTTACATTATTTTCCATCCTAATTTGCTGGTCCCGGGGATCAAACAGAGAAACATTTTTATTTTAATGTCATTGGTTAGGAAATTTATGGAATTTTTATATTTGGGGGAATTTTACTGATTTTCTAGATCTGAAGCTGTGCCTTACCATTGTGTCTTAAGGCCGTGTGGTGTGGTGGGGAGGAGGTGAACATGTACACCCCATATTGTTTTACATATTGCACTTTCTTCTAAGATTTCGGTTGAAAGAAGTAATGTGCTACTTTTTAAAGCATCTACACAAGAAATAGTTTGAATCTTTTAAGTTTTACATATTTGGTAACTGAGGCCAGAGGTTTTTGTTTTTTTAAGTTCCCACCGTTAGTTAATAGTAAAACTGGGATTAGAACTCAGGGTCTTCTGCATATCAGTCTGACCTGTATCAGTAGCCTGATAAAATGGGACAGTGTGGCAATTGCAGACACATCTATGATAGTGGCTTGCTGACAAGATTTTTCAATACTACGTTGCACACTTACAAGATGCATGTAGATAACATGTGAAATGGTAGTAGAAATAGTAAGTTATAAATATAAACTGTGATTACATGACCTGTTGCAAAAATGAGAATAGAAATAGCTCTTACCAGCACTTTGGTTTGTTGGGATTCTTTATCTGGCTCATTACACAGACTTTTTTTTTTTTTTTTTTTTTTTTAAGATTCTGGGCCATTTGTGATCCTGCCTAAATGGGTTACAGAACTTTTCCATTTACTTTTTTCATTTTACTTAGGAATAATATGAGAGACCCCCAGGAAAATCTCTTCAGTTCTAGAACGTCTTCTCCCTGTTTCCACTGTGTAGTAGTAAGTTTATTTTTCCGAGAAATCATAATAAACCATCCCATCCTTACGATAACTCCTTCTACATCTGGTAATTCTATGGTATGAGAAGTTCAAAATGGCCAAGTAGAGGTCTTAGCTTCTAGTCCAGTGAAATTACTGTTACATTCCTTGGAAGAAACATCCCCCTCCTTACCTCCCATGTAGGAATTAGAACATTTAAACTAATAGAATCCGGTAGAGATGGAAAGGAAAACCTTTACAAGTGGACCATGAGAGGTACTAATGAGATTTAACTCTGACCCCTAGATTTGTGACTTTGGGGGAAATTAATTCCTGGTTCCTGCTTGGAGGCACTTATAGGACCTTGTAGAACAAAACCTGGCCTCATAATCACCCAGCTAGTCCTATAGCTGAGCCCTCTGTAGTTTCCAAATTTCTACCAGACTGACTACTTCAGGGTGATAGAGGACATAATTTGCTCAGTGACTCTCATGGGTGTAAGCCCTTCCCTCACCTTCTCTCAGTCAGTTCCTTGGTCAGCAGCAGTGTTTTGTAGGATACATGACAGTGAAGAATGCATTCATTAGCTCCATAGGTAGTAGAGCTAACAGAAGCTTCTGTCACAGGGAAAGGAAAATTACATTCAGGATAAGTTTCCCTTCCACTGAATGTATGCTGCTGTTCCTTCCATGACAAAAGAGTCCAGTATAATCAGTCAGTCAGCCTGAGATAGTCTTGGTGTCACATCTGGGATGGGGAGGGAGAGATGTGTTAAACATCCTATATCCTGTGCACAGGACAGCCCCCCACAGCAAAGACTTATCCAGCCCAAAATGTCAATAATGTTAAGGTTGTGAAAGTTCACTTTGACCTTTCCAACCTTTTCATTTCTTTTATGATTTGGGTTAGTAATAGAACCTATTTAATTGTTTTTGTGATAGTTAAATGAAATAATCCATGTCATATGTTTAGCATAGTGCCTGGCACAAAAGTGATCTGTTATTATGAACTACTATTATCATTATTATTCTCATAATACTAGTACTAATACTAGTTAGTACTAATCTGAATATTTAGATTTAAGATCATTCCATATACCGCCTGCAACCATACAGTCAGGGAAATCAGTTTGGTTCTTTCCTGCATCAAATGAAAATTTCTAAAGAACAAAAAAAAGGGGGGGAACATAACGGAAGAGGCCCCTCATAATAGAGTCAAAGAAGATAATGAATCAATAATTAGATGATCACCATACTTTTTTGTAAGTTCTAAGAAAATAATGAAAGTCCTGTTCATGTAACTAGCTTTCTTCATGTTTACATTCTTTTTTTTTTCCCTTTTATATCATATTGTACAGTGATGCTTCCTTTCCTTTCCATATCTTTTGCAGTCTCAACTTTAAATTTTTTCTGGTTATCAAGGATTTGGGAGCCATTAAAATAATGGAAGCATTGATCAGAAAAGAGTGAAAAAAGTTATGCTGCCATTACATATTGTTTAAATATTATCCAAATGAACTGCTGAAATGCTAGCTAAATTTCCAAGCCTATAATTTTCATTTAATAATTGTACTCAGAAATACTGTCGGTAACTCTAAGCATCTAAGCTCTACTTAGTAACCATAAATTCATTCATACTGCAATGATATAAATAATTATCTTTTAATTTTCAAGGCAAATGCAATAGGCCGAAGTGCTAAAACTGTTCGAGAATTTCTAGAAAAGAATTACACAGAAGATGCTATAGCAAATGACAGTGAAGCTATAAAATTGGCAATAAGAGCTTTGCTAGAAGTAAGTGATCTAATAAAGCATATTCAGAAAAGCACTTTTTTTCCCATTGTCCAACTACTTAAAACATGAAATTTACTGAAGTGATTCTAAAACTACACTACTAATGTTTTACATTAGGTTGTCCAGTCTGGTGGAAAAAACATTGAACTAGCTATCATAAGAAGAAACCAACCTTTAAAGGTACATCATTAATTGAAGAGAAAAGAATATCTGTAGCATAAAGTATTTTGACAAAGTTAAAATATTGTGGACACCTGTCATTCTTCATTATAAGCCTGAAACATCCACTGACACTATGACAACTGTATTTTGTTTCAATAGGCTAAAATATCCACTGGTTTGCATGTGCTTTGTTGCCTTTCCCTTCACCTCTATGAAGACTTAGATGTTATGAGAATTACATATATTTATACAGGTCTACTCCATTTAGTATATGTTCTTGTAAGTAGCAATCCCTATTGAGTCAGTCCTTTAGGGGTTACTGTAGCATATTATCTGTGCAGATTCATTTCTAGCAGCACTGAGAAAGGAATTACTCTTATCATCTTCCAAAGTCAAGATAGTCATTGTTGGTTTTTTTTTTTTTTTTTAAGATTTATTTATTTATTTATTTATACAAGCACTGGGTACAGTCAGAAGCGCGGGAGGGTGAGAGAATTCACCAGAGCAGGGAGCAGAACAGGCAGAAGGACCAAAGTACACTGCTGAGGGGAGCAGCGGGCGCGGCAGTAGAGGTCTGCGCACCATGTGGGACCCTCACCCGGTGGCTGGGGATCGAACCGGTGCTGCAGAGGCTGCAGGCAGCTTTGCAACCCAGCGCTCAACCGCTGCGCCACTGGAGAGGCCCAGTCATTGTTGTTTTGACACCATATTCGCATCTTCTGTTAGTCAATCAGTGGATGGGGACTTGAGGATAGGAGAGCAGCAGAGCGTCTATAAGAGAATGGTACAGGGTTGTGGGGTCTGCCTGTACATGAACCCACATGAAAAGCCATGGTGCTGAGCACAGAGTGTTAGGGGAGTCGTGTTGTCATCCCTGCTGCCAAGATCCCAAGGACAGACATGCCAATATCATAGGGACAAATAACCACTAAGGCCAGAGTTATCTCTTCTGTCACAGACAGATATGTGCACCTGGATAGATGGACACACACACACCAGTTACACATGTATTTTTACTTATGAATGGTAGACTGATATGTATACTGGCAGCAGAGTTATACTAGCATTCCACATTAATATCTCAGGATAGATTGCATTGCTACTAGAGCACATGGTTTGGAATTGGATTGAGCTGAGTTTATGTTCCAACAGATTCATTTGTTTTCATGCTATGACCTTGAGCAAATTGATCCCATCTTCGATTATAAATAAAATTGATTTAAACAAAATAAAAACTCTTTTGGCTTCAGCTTTGTGAATGGGTTGTAAGCAAAGCAGTATAAGTGATCTTTACTTTTTTGGATATTCTGTGAGCTGATAAAATAGTCAGACCCTATCAGAGAATCACACAGTAGACGGTGGTAAGGTATGTTTAGTAACGAGTTATTTGCTCATGAATAGAATAAGCTTTGCATTAATGTGTTTTCAGAATATCATGCATATATTGGATTTGTAATGTGGTGTCATATTTTGCACTACTTTGTTTTTTAGCATAATAATCATGAAAATGACAGAATTGTGATTTGTAAATAATTATTCCAAGTATGTTGCTTTTGTATATTAGAAATAAATCTTGAACTCAGTGAAAAAACTTAATGGTTTTCAAAGGTAGAGGGGGTGGAGAAGGAAGACAGATGGGTTAAGAGTGCAGGTGATTTGGTGGAGGATGTGAAACATGTGCACATAGGGGAAAATAAGTTATTTTTTTAAAAAATTAAAAGTATGTTACCTTTGAACCTTTTAAACCATTTTACTCTGTATTTGAAATTGTGAAATATAAGTTTTAAATAGAATTACAAATTTATGAAACATAATTAGGTAACTTCATTTTATATTTACAAATGGTTGCTATAATTGAAACTTGCTTTTTACATTTTTTTTTCTTTTCAGATGTTTAGTGCCAAAGAAATTGAATTGCAAGTAACTGAAATAGAAAAAGAAAAGGAAGAAGGAGAGAAGAAAAAATTGAAGAAGACTGCCTGATTCTTAGGGTGAACACTGGGAACTTTTAATGTTTTCTTGTATTCCTTGGAATTACTTAGTGAAGTTATAAAGGAAATAAGTTCATTTGTGGCGTTAAATTTAGTTATATGCTGTTTTGAGAATGCTGTCAAAACTTGTGGCTATCTTCAGTCTGTTATATGAGCAAATATACATTAGACAAAGATTCTCTATGAAAAAAGGTATCAGTAATTGTTGAAAGCAGTCATAATTCTACATAAACCCTGAGAGTATTCTAAAACTTGTCCAGTGTATTACTTTTCTTCATATATGCAGACTTGATTAAGAAAAAATTTCAATTTGAAAAAATTAATAATTTGTTGATGTTTGAGTATCAGTTATCAATAAAGAGCTGTTCCAAAATAAACTGACCGTTGAGTTGTATTTATAGATGAATGATAAAAGCAACCTTGTTTGTGAATTATCAATTTTGTCAGAACCTTCTACATTGAAAATATTTAATCACAATTATTTCACCTCTTTCATTTTATAAGTTATAGTATGTTAGTTTGTCCATGAAACAAATATTAAAAGCCTGATCCAAATAGATAAGTAAAGTAAAATATGTAAAAGAAGTTATTAAAGCAGAGTGAGAACTGAGACAGGGAAGATAAACGGAAGACTCCAGCAAACTGCCCGAAGAAGAAAGTTGCCATAAAAGAGGACGAGAAGGGAGGGAAGCGCAGAACCCTGCTCCCCTCCCCCGCCCACAGAGGCGGCACTCTCCAACCGGCAGAGACGAGGGAAACAACAAACCAAAACGCCCAACAAGAAAAACGGATGCAGCAAGTGGGACTGTGAGTGGAAAGGAACTATTTCAGCCACCACACCCCGTGAACGGGAGCTGAGGCGAACCCTGCAGGATCCGCCGCGGAGGTGAGCTCCAGGCGCCAGTAAAGAGAGCCCCGCCCACCAGGAGGAGCCCAGCACCAGCACACAGCCCCGGCCGCCCGGTAAGCTTGCACGAAAGCGGCGCTCGGATTGCAGCTGCCCAGGGCCCTGCGCCTGCGACCTAGGCTTGCGGGGAGACGGCGGAGGCCCTCCCTGAGTGAGCAGGAACAAGGTGCCCAGGCAGGGGAGCGGGATTCAAAAGGCGCCATTCCCGCGCCACTGATCTGGGCTATAGCCCGCGTCCTGGAACTGAGGGCTTTGGAACTGAGACCCGGGCGGAGGCCCTCCCTGAGTGAGCAGGAACAAGGCGCCCAGGCAGGGGAGCGGGATTCAAAAGGCGCCATTCCCGCGCCACTGATCTGGGCTACAGCCCGCGTCCTGGAACTGAGGGCTTTGGAACTGAGACCCGGGGCACGAAATTAGGGGCGTGGGTTCCCCACGACGGTGGGGCACAAGGCAGACACAGCACCCCAAAGCCGTTGAGGTGTACCCTTCCATCCCCGCTCTGCTCCCTGTCCCACGGGGTGGAAAATCAGCTCCCCAAGGGCTCTAGGAGAGATCTCTGGTGCCACCTAGCGACTTGACCCCAGCACAGGCTACTGAAGGAGCTAGTGGCCAGCTGGGAGTTAGCCCACACCGGGCCCCTTCTGAACAAGTAGTCTGAGCCCACAGGGAGAGCGAGCACCCACAGCCGGGGCAGACCAGGCGCGCAGAATAGTGTGCCTGAGACCAGAAGCGCAGGGAGTGTGTCCCACATCACCATTTTAGAACAGGGACATTTCTTCAGTAAAGACTACCTGCAGAAGGCTTCCTCAGGAGCCAGAGGTGAGCGGGGGAAGTTCGCCCACGCCAGACCCCCTCTGGCCTGCAGTCCAAGCCCAGAGGGGAGCAGGAACCCACCGCCGGGGCAGACCAGGCGCACAGGGGAGTGTGTCCCCACATCGGCATTTTAGAACAGGGACCTTTCTCCAGTAAAGGCTGCTTGAAACTGACAGATGACTCCTGGAAGAACCAGAGGGGAACAGAGAAGCCCACCCAAGATGCCGGCAAGTCCCAACAACACAGTGTCCCAACGCATACGGCAAATTAGAAAACAGACAGTAGGGAGGAGAAGAACCACACGCAACCTAGCAACTCTCCAGAGAAAAAGCACACCACAAAAAGAAAGCCAGCCCCCAGATTGCAACGACAATAACTTGGAAGAATTTCTGAGCCTTCCAGAAAGAGAATTTAAAATTGCCGTGATTAAAAAACTGACAGAAGTCATAAAGGAAAACAATGATAAGGGAAAAATAATCAACGATCAGAAGAATGCAATTGAGTCCCTAGAGAGGGAAAACAATGGTCAGAAGAAAGAAATTGAGTCCCTAAAGAGGGAAGTAAAAGAAATGCAGGAGATCAAAGAATTAATGGAAGAACTAAAGAATTCTGGGAAAAGCAATGAAAGCAGAATAGATGAAATGGAAGAACGAATAAGTAATCTTGAAGACATAGAAATAAAAAGAACCAAAACAGAGAAGGAAAGAGAAGTACGAAGGAAAAAGAACGAAGAAAGACTTCGGGAACTATCGGACTCCATGAGGAAAGGAAATATAAGAGTTATAGGAATACCAGAAGGAGAGGAGAGAGATGTAGGAACAGAGAAATATTCAAAGAGATAATTGAAGAGAACTTCCCAAATGTGAAGAAGGAGCTGAAAATTGATATACAAGAAGCAAGAAGAACACCAAACTTCCACGACGAAAGGAAAAATACAGCAAGACACATAATAGTAAAGCTCCCAAGAATCCAGGACAAGGAAAAAATAATGAAGCTGGCAAGAGGGAAGAAACAGATAACATTCAAAGGAAAACCAATCAGGCTGACATCAGACTTCTCCGAAGAAACACTACGGGCAAGGAGAGAGTGGAGGGACATAGTCAACAGACTCCAAGAAAACAGATGCCAACCAAGAATACTCTATCCCGCAAAGCTCTCCTTCCTCTTTGAAGAAAGAATATGGACCTTCCCAGACAAACAGAAACTCCGGAATTTCATTGCAACTAAACCCCCACTCCAAAAAATACTACAAGGAGTTCTAAAGCCAGAACCTCAGAGCGACGAATAACAATGAAAGAAGGCCAAAAAAAAAAAAAAAAAAAGTTATTAAAAGAATAAATAAATAAAATCAAAGGAAAGACAAACACAATGGCAAATACAGATGTTAACATATCAATATTAACTCTAAATGTAAATGGACTAAACTCTTCAATAAAAAGACACAGAGTTGCAGCCTGGATTAAGAAACAAAACCCAACCTTTTGCTGTCTCCAGGAAACACATTTAGCTACAAAAGATAAAAATAGGCTCAAAGTTAAAGGATGGAAAACAATCCTACAAGCAAATGGACCAAAAAAGAAAGCAGGAACAGCTATACTTATATCAGATAAAACAGATTTCAAACTCAAAAAGATAAAAAGAGACCCCAATGGTCACTACATTATGATCAAGGGGACAATACTTCAAGAAGAAATAACACTCATTAACATATACTCACCAAACGAAGGAGCACCAAAATATATCAGACAACTGTTGTCCTCTCTGAAAACAGACATCAGAGAAAACACATACGTAGTGGGAGACTTCAACACACCACTATCAACAATGGATAGATCAACAAGACAAAAAATAAGTAAAGAAACCAAAGCTCTAAATAAAGACCTAGAGCAATTGGGCTTAACAGACATCTATAGAACACTAAACCCCAAAAAAACGGAGTACACATTTTTCTCAAGCGCACACGGATCATTCTCCAGGATCGATCACATACTGGGGCACAAGACAAACATCAACAGATACACCAAGATTGAAATCATATCAACCATCTTTTCTGACCATGAAGGCATCAAACTAGAAATAAACCATAAAAAGAAGGCAAGGAACTTTCCTACCTCATGGAGATTAAAAACCACACTACTGGAAGACCATTGGACTAATGAGGAGATCAAAGAAGAAATTAAAAAATTTTTTGAATTGAACGACAAGGAGGACACCAATATCCTAAATGTATGGGATGCAGCAAAAGCAGTAATAAGAGGAAAATATATAGCAATAGAAGCTCACATCAAGAAACAAGAAAGAACGCAAAGAAACAACCTAATCTCGAAGCTCAAAGATCTAGAAAAAGAACAACAAGAAAACCCCAAAACCAGTAGAAGAAAAGAAATAATAAAAACCAAAGCAGAAATAAATGAAATTGAAACTAAAAAAACAATCCAAAAGATCAATGAAACCAAGAGCTGGTTCTTTGAAAAAATCAATAAAATAGACAAACCCCTAGCCAGGCTCACAAAGGAAAAAAGGGAGAAAGCACAAATAAACAGGATCATCAATGAAAGAGGAGAAATCACAACGGACACAGCAGAAATCAAAAGAATAATCAGTAACTACTATGAACAGTTATATGGAAACAAGTTTAACAATCTAGAGGAGATGGACAAATTCCTACAACTCTACAATCACCCAAAGCTAGATAAAGAAGAAATAGAACACCTAAACAGACCAATTACAATTAGCGAAATTGAAATGGTAATCAAAAACCTCCCCAAAAACAAAAGCCCAGGACCTGATGGATTTACAAATGAATTCTACCAAACATTCAGAGACGAATTAGTGCCTATCCTTCACAAACTCTTCCAAAAAATTGAGAAGGAAGGGACAATACCAAACACGTTCTATGAAGCCAACATTACACTAATACCAAAACCGAACAAGGACAACACAAAAAAGGAAAACTACAGGCCAATCTCCCTAATGAACACTGATGCAAAAATCCTCAATAAAATTTTAGCTATCAGAATCCAACAATGTATCCATAAGATAATTCACCACGACCAAGTTGGATTCATTCCAGGACACAAGGATGGTTTAACATCCGAAAATCAATCAACGTTATCCAACACATCAACAAAAAGAAATATAAAAACCATATGATAATATCAATAGATGCTGAGAAAGCTTTCGACAAAGTGCAACACCCATTCATGATAAAAGCCCTTGAAGTTCTTGGGATACAAGGAACATACCTCAACATCATAAAGGCCATCTATGACAAGCCAACAGCCAGTATCATTCTCAATGGTGAAAAGCTGAAAGCAATTCCATTAAGATCTGGAACAAGACAAGGATGTCCACTCTCACCATTGCTTTTCAATATAATACTGGAAGTCCTAGCCAGGGCAATAAGACAAGAGAAAGACATCCAAGGAATCCAAATAGGAAAAGAAGAAGTCAAACTATCACTATTTGCAGACGATATGATATTATACATAGAGAACCCCAAAAACTCCACAGAAAAGCTAATTCAACTCATCAATCAGTTCAGTAAAGTGGCAGGATACAAAATCAACACGCAAAAGTCAGTAGCCTTCCTATACACAAACAATAAATCTGAAGAAGAAGAAATCGAAAAGACCATCCCTTTTGTTA